ATAGGTTCAGTCGTGCAGGCGCTAAGCACACCGAGTTCGGAACATAACAGGAAGAATTTATGATCACCTAAGAACGCGTTTGCGTAAGAAGCATTATTAAGGGACTCTGCCGTCGTGGCGTGTGCGCCAGACACAGGGTACTAAGATGACTTAGCCAATGTCAAGAGCATTAGGAGTGTCTACAATCAACCTATTAGGAGTAGATTGCCGCGGCGGTAAAAAGTACTTACTGTGTGAACCGAATGGAGGGACTGGAATACATAAGTACGTGGTCAGCGCTGCTTATCTGGCCAGTTTGAGGAGCGTCGATGTGAAGTTCCAGTTGGGGAGCAAATATCGGCCCTCAACCATCAGCATTAAGGGTTTATCTCTTACTGTGCTGAAAAACGTGAGGACTCCTTCACTATCCGCACAGCGACTAAACTGTTTGAGGCAATATCGAGTGGCTGTAATAATCGCTTGTCCCATATGCTTGCTATCGCAACGAGGACCCATGTTCGTTACCAAATGCCGCCCTGATTATATTCTGATGTACGGTCCTGACAAATCTTATGCGTCAAAAGTGATGCATTACCCAGCAAATACACTAACGGATTGTGTGCCGACCTCTCCGAACGCATTTCTTGAGCGGTTCCTAGCCTATTCTACGACGGTGGGTGATAATCCAATGCACTCGCTCGAAGTGGGGCTTCACGGTAATCGAACTCGATCGAGAAATAGGTTCGCAACATAGGTTTCGCAAGTGGGTTGGTTCGAAGTGAATTGCGCGCATGCCATATGATCGTCGTTGAGGGTAAGTACGGTCCACCTCATTGCTAATGATGTGGATGGTTCTCTGCACGTTACATGGCGAAGGAACGCGTTCGTGACAAATGTGCGAAATAATTAACTGCGCGGTTGCAACTGTCTTTACAGTAGAATCGGTGAACGCATGATACAAGAGTAAGTCTTGCATACTGGTACATATGATATTCTTTGCGCAGAATGACGTATCTACGGCAGCTGAGCTATGGCTGATTCCTCGGTTACTTTTTGTAACTAAATCCAGAAGTAAAACTTTGTCGACCGAGTTATGCTTGAAGTCCATCACCGAGTGATATGTAAGGCGCGGCTGCATTCGACAAGTAATTTGGTAAAGGGAGCGCACTAGCCGTAACACTTTATCTATTATCATTTAGAGGAAATTTCTACGTGTTTGTGTAATGGAGCAATGGTTTATGACAGGTATAAAAGTGAATGCTTGACATGTCCCGTAGAATAGTTTGGGTGATAATTAAATAAATAAATGAATAAATTGTATATTCCTCTACGATGCAAGAAGCTGTTCCCTAATAAGGACAGATCAAATAATGGTACAACTTTTCGATGAGATTTCATTAATACATTTTCAGAGATAAACATGGGCGTAATTGCAAATTAGGTAACAGAATAATCAGAATCGCTCTACTATTTTCCCCTGCCATTGAATTAGGTTTTTCATAATCCCTTGACAAACATTTGGGCTGAGAAAAAAATGTAATGAAAGTGGCTGTTGTCCGAAATGTTATGTGTATGTGTTCCAGAAATTTATTCAGACACCATGGATACCGTTTTCGAATGCGTTATTTAGGGACTGTGATGTCCCGAACATGTTAATCATGTTTTGAACAGTTAAATGCTTACTAATCGCAAGCTTAAAATTGCCGTGTATGGCATGTTCTGATATCACTTAGAAGTTTGTTCCAAATCTTTGAGTATTGGGTTAGAAAGAAAAGTTCTCTGATTGTCATAGTAAATTTTGGAATCATGACCTTTACCTCTTTGTTACGTAATGGATATCTGCTGTTTACAAATATGTGAACATCATTATCAAGACTGCGAATTTGACAGTTTATGATTCTTTAAAAAAATAGGTTCAGCTTCATTATCCGAATCCAAACTGGGTCAAATCCAAGTTTAGCACATCGCTCACTGTATGTCAATTTAGAGGAATATCCACAAAGCTTTTTCATGAAGCGTCTCTGGACCGTCTCAAGAGCTTGCTGGTCAGATTTCCGCAGATTAGACTGTACCACTGAACAGTATTCCATACACGGCAGTAGATATGTTTTGTAAAGCGATATGCGAGATTTCGTGCGGTAGAGATGATGACAGATGTAACCGATGGTCTTCATGGCTTTCGAAACTTGAAAGTCACAGTGTTCAGAAATGTTAAACGCGACTGAATATTGCACGCCCACGTCGCGAACTGTCCTACACTGCGAGATATATGCGCCATGTAGTAGTAAACTGTCTGGCGGTACTTGACATTTGTATGACAAAATATTACACTTGCCGACGGCAAATGACATCTGCCACAGTTGGCACCAGGAGTCAAGGGCAGACAGGTCATCCTGTATGAGACGTATGGCTTACTGAATATTTACATGTGGTTGTGAGTAGACAACTTTAATGTCATCAGCAAAGATAAATGCAACACCATTTCTGATTTTCTGATAGGAAAGATTGCGCATTCCAGTTATGTTCTTAGGTGCCCGGCGTTGTGGCTGATCCAGTGCATTAAGCTCGTGTTTCAGCTATAGATGCCATGTTTGAATTGCGTATTGGACATGGGGGCGAACATACGCACTGAGCATCTGTCGAAATAGCTGACACCGTTCGCTGTTTGGCTATAAGGCTTCCCTCAGTTGGCGTGTAGGGCATTAGGTCCGTTTACCACTTTCGCAAAACATCCATATTTTTGGAATTGCACGTCGGTGTAACCTAACACGGTAAAACCAAATTTACACACCACGTGAGCTATACCATTTAACCCATGCGGACGTCAAAACAAAATCTTGACCTCTATCCACTACCAAGCCGGCGCGTTGAACCACGTGACAATTATGGGCGATTGAGAATGCAGTTTATCTCACACCCACTCAAAGCGTATATACTTGTCATATAAAGATGCAACACAACTGGATGACCGGACAACGCTTCCATTCACGTGCTCAAGGCTCGATGCGGCCATAGTCGCAGCCACGCCGTCAGCTGAATTGGACTCACAGCCATTATACGAGCACCTAAATTTCTCTCTTGTATATATCATTTTTACTTGTACAATATTAGCACTTACATTAAAGTATGGTCTTCTGATTTTGTAACTACTCGATTAAAGCGGCACTACTATGGGGCATACGTGTGTACTAGGCTCCTTGACTGATTGGCTGGAAACATTATATTAAAATACACCCTAACCACATCAATAACATGTCTACCTACTAGGTTCACTAGTCTCAACTCTGCTCTCAGTGGATCACAAGCACGGGCAACTCCACTGTGTAACTATGTTGGTCGCATAATCTATTTGTGCGGAGCTGAAGAGACACCCTGTCGCCTTACTTGCGCTATATCTCAGTGAGTGATGTGTGTTGGTTGGACTTTCATCCACAGGTGATTTTCCAGACTTACCAGCAGCAGGTGCGGGTGGCGAAGAGCTGCCAACTGTCTGATGTCACCGTTGCGCTTACTGCTCGGCCGGTGGCCGAGTGGTCTGCGCGCCTGGTTTGCAACCATAAGGTCACCAGTTCGAATCCGCGTAGGGTTGGGCGTCCTCGCGGTATACTGAGCCCGCGCGCGACTGGTGGCGGTCGCGCGGCAGCGAAGCGCCGTTACGACATACAGCTGGCAGTTTATTTATTATTTCTCTGCGCTTACTGGTTTGGATGGCTGTTCGAAGGGGGTTCCACCTCACCTTCACCTACAGAACACAATCCACTGTTAACTGGCTCTTTTTAGGTGAGCGCGCATATTTCTCACTCTTTTACCAACCCACTGGGGAACTGCCTTCAAATGCATGCTGCAGATGTTGTGCGAGAAAATGGACGTTATGCAGTCTGTGTTCTACCTGCGTGACATTCTCCTCTATTCACAGTTTCTTCGTCGCATTTTGCTCGCAGCCAGACAGTCTCTCATACACCCAGAAAAACACTAGATATCCTCTTCATCCTACTGAATTCCGTTAGTAGTGCACGTCCGCCAGCTCCATGAGCAATCAAACCCCGTGAACTCGAAAATGTTCGTAAGCGGCATAGCAGTAGAGGATGACCCGCATTAAATCGCATTTGTGTTGCGAGTCACAGCAGCCTATCGTCGTCACCTGCTGACTAGTGGAATGTGCCACTGGTGTAGTGAGATCACATAGTTGATTCCCGGTGGAGTCGGGCGATGTGCACTACAGATGAGTCCCAATAGGACGAAATGGCCTTTCCCCTTCATTCCGGAGGTGTGCGGGTATGTCTGGTTACGACTGACTGGAACGAATGAGCTGGGAAGTGTATCAGTACTCTCCTACTCGTGGTGCTTCTTTGTTTTGCGAAAATTCGGCTACCAGCCCGTCGCAGTGTTCTTATTATGAGCATTAATTTAATGCCGATTGAGTTATAATAGTGAAAGTGTCTCCTTTTACTTTAGGTGTTCGCACGGTTGTTTCATATGTGTCATGGCTGATTCCCACTTCAGTCTGCCAACCACGCCTACAAACATCCTGTTTACTTCCCTTTTCCCAAGACACTGGTATGCTTAATTTGAGAGGCATCTACTCTTGCTCTTCTTTGGGGTAGGCTATACATGTCACAACGGAGAAGATGCGGATCCAATTAGTGAGTTCGATAGAATGTATCATTGGTCCTCGTGACAGTACCAGGCTCCAAGGGTAATACTATTTATGGAAAGGAGCACGGCCGAACCAGTCGCCTGTCTACGCCTGATGCGAGCGTTTCCCCAACCGTTGCATCAATGGTGTGTGCATTAGAGGAACATGAGCCGGATTCCAATCAAAGTTGTCTCTATCCGGATGGCTCCTAACCTGGACGGGACAGAGGTATGCGTGTGTGCAGTATGCATAGGACTGTGCATATTGGAAGCAAACCCAGCATATCATTCTTTGCTTGAATGCACAGACATCCTATTACCGTTTGGTACCACAAGCACAAAAATTCTATTTCACACACGAAAAGCACATTCTATACAGGATTTGTGTATTAAGTTCACGGAAATGTAAACAGATGCATTGGAAAATCCATTTTTAGTACGCCAGTGCAACTTGATACGTTTGGAATGGCCAGTTGCCAGTTTTTCTCAATTCGTTCTGTTTCGTCACAAACACTTCGGATTCAAAGTCAGGACTGATGGTGAAAGATAATGGCTGTATGTTTATTGTGGGTTGGAAGAATGTTCTCCGGTTCTGATATCGCATCTTGGGCGGTGGTGGCAACATGTCCGGACCGAATGAGATGGGCACGTTGTATGGTAGCCTTTTTCGGAGAAAGTGTCGCCTTGTTTCAAGGAAGAAGGACACAGTTGAGCACGAGTTAATTTATGTTAGGCATCAGACTTTATGTGATTTTTCAAGATTACGTCACACAGCTTGTAGTTAACGTGCTTTCACTCGTCGCGGTTAATTAGTGACATAATCACCTAGTCAATATTGCGTAAACAGATTCAATTACTCACCCCGTAGTATTTAGGTTAAGACAGGATGATCCACAAAAACCGTAGCAACAACCCGATTTCTCACATTAGTGGTTGCTAAACCTAGCACGGCGCCTACAATCTTCATCTAGCCTGGCATCCGGTGGCTGTGCCCAACAGAATTCAAGTTCAAATTCAAGCTCAAGCGGGACTGGAACGATAGGATTATCCGTGAGTGTTCCTTCTTTAGCGAGTCATTGAACCAGGAGTTGGCAGACTTTGAAATACTGATGGACCTAAAACAAAGACGGCATCACACCCTGTTCAACCAATTAATGCCCACGTATTCTCCACTAGCAGTCCCCGCTGGGCCAGTTACGTGAAGTAAGAAAGAGAAAAAAGGGAAACTCAGAAGGCAGAGCGTACTGACTCAAAGTTTCAGTTTTTGTGACTATACTCACTTGTCCATGCGTAGCTTGACCGGTGGCCGAGTGGTCTGCACCACTGGCTGGCAATCATAAGGCCACCAGCTCTTATCCGCGTACGGGCGGACGTTCTCGCGGTACGGTCAGCCCACGCGCGCTGGTAGTCGTCACGCGGCAGCGAAGCGTTTTCATAGCGTGGAGCTGGCGATTGTTTGCCTTCGTTGTTGTACGTCGGAGCACCCATCATCCGACTAAAATTGTGTAATACTTTAGTTTATTGACTGTGTACCGGTGGACACGGTACTTCACTTTTTCTGTTGCTCGTGATTTTTCCCTACCTAACTATACATCGCATTCGAATGGATGGTCTTGATTCTCTAAGTATTGCCAGTTCGTATTAGATCATCCCACAAAATGTTACATCGTTTCACACACCACCGAGTTGCGCTCATTCTACTCTATGTTTAGTGTGAGCACCTTGTTGTGTATACGATCCACGCATCGCATACTACTTATAAATACAAGTACTAGATAACCGAAACTCTAGGACTAACTGCCCCAGGTCATCAAAGAGCACCTGTTCCGAAAATTCACCAGTAACCGCAGGGGAAGGTTCATGTCACTTTGCGTGTGTATTCCTCAATTCTATAGCGGATAATAGTGTCCACTGTTTTTATTTCTACACACGTTAATCATACGCGTATGCCACACGTCTTGCTTGGTAACTTCATCTTCAAGAACACAGATCGCCCCACTGCCTGGTGACGAGCGGTATCTGCATTTTAAGAGTCACCACTTAACGCTAGTTCTAGTGACTGAATCACCTCAGGTGTCGTTCGAATTACATTCCGTTCAACCATTTTATATCCTAAATCACATCGGATACACGCCCCCACAATTGTGACCAACTGCAGCGTTTCAGCAGAGTCGCTTACGAAGTTGAGTTGAGTAAATTTTCGTTACACCAGGGCTCGAGACTTTAAGATTAGTTATACATAAAGCGGTTGACATAGTTGAAAAGGAGTGCTGAACTCACTAGTCACAAACAATATACTTCACGTGAACGATAAAATATAACTCCATGGTCCTGCGCATCGTATTCCTGGCTGCAGTGCCATAACAGGACGTAACATAGTGCAAGAATGAGGCTGTACTCAAGGTGTTCTGATGTGCTAACATGACGCGTTCACCTATCTAAACAAGAGAATCTGTGCGTGCAAAGAGCGAACTCCCGGTTTCATCTTGTGTAGGACGCCGATAACGATGGGTTTACATCCCAAACAAAGCATAGCGAGATCAAATGGTTCTAATTCCTAGTGAGTAGGGGATATGTTTTTCTTTGCGATTATTCGTCGCAGCTAGACTCAACCCTACGGTCACGACATCCAGGAACGCGCTAGAGGTCTATTTCGCCCTATTTGGACTCGTCAGTGGCACGCAACTGCCGAATCCCACCGCATTCAAACACACGACCTTACCCTTATGAGTCAACGAATTAACCTACTGAGTCATAAGTGACGGCAACGGACCGCTACGACTGATATCTAACTGCGATTTAGCGTGACTCATCCTACACTGTTATGCATGTTAGGAACCTGCAGAGGTCAGGGCTAGCCCCAGAGCTACGACTTCCTTTGCAAGCCACCACCAATCGAGAAGGCATGTAAATTGCTAAGGCGGCCCACAGCCGTCACTCATGGCTCAGTGGCATTAGTCGGTGACTTGCAAGCATAAGGTCATGGGTTCGAATACGACAGGCTTCGGCGAGTGCGCGATACTGAGGAGACCCAACAGGACGAAACGTCTGTCTAGCATTTTTCTGGATGTATGGCGGCTGTCTGACTGAGTCTAATTTTTAATTCCGTCAGTTGATGAGTGCAACCAGAAAAACTGCACCATCCATCCGCGTCAAATTAGGATTTAAGACATGTCAATAGACTCGTGCTCGACCGGAAGACTGAACTTGCAGTAACCCATGGATCTGACTTATCGTTGACAGACAAAATCGTACCAACCTAAAAACTGAGCCGCCGCAGCCATCAAAAAACATTTGCCCCTGAGTCAACCCCGATCAATCATCTACCGTCCTGTTGTGCAATAATTATCCTCTTCTTCTTCATCCCACTATTACCAATCGGGAACGGCCGACACTGCGTACGAAGACCGCTGACAGCTGAACCTCTCTTTGTAGTGCGGACTTCATCGATTGTGGCTGGCTGGCTGGCTAGCTACCAACTTTTCACCTATGATCTCAGCTTGAATCAATATCGTCAACTGCGTTTGTGATGAATGAGAATACATGAACTGAGTGAGTCGTCTAAAATCATGATATTTTTTAATTGGAAAACAGGCGACTCTCTTATTTCAAACAGGCTGTGTTCTTCCAGTTTGGTGATCTTTTGAAGGGCAACGTTTTTCGAGGCCTTCTCACCTCTGCACCAAAATGGCTGGAGAATACCATGTCTACCAACATTACCAGAGCGCGATTTAGTTCGTGCGCCTTCGAGTCCTCAGTTGCATGAGTAAATCCTTTGTTTGCATACCTGAAGTTAAACACTGAGCACAGCTCCTTACCCTGTTTTCTGCGCCGAACGTCTACGTATCATTTACCAACTTGTCTGTTTAATTAATAACGCGTAAGCTTCACGTGATTGTAATTGTAACCAATTTGAGTATTGTGCCTTTGCCCCGTGGAACTACACTGTTCGGAACACCACTTATTTACTGTAAACGTTGAAATAGTTGTGCGTAAAGCCGAGGTTTTTAATTTTGCTGTTGTCGTTCTCTCTGAAATGTCGTTGTTTGTTATATCTAACGTGGACATATCAAGTTAGTAGGAACATTTTGACAAATTCTTTGGCTAAACAGTTTCAAGGGTCACTGTAACAGTTGAACTCCGCGGATCCTTTGTAAATTTCTCCGAGACACTACGCACAACCCGCAGCATGTCAATATTATCAAAATGAAACCGACTGCCAACAAGGTTTTGACAAGGTTGGAATCATCAACCGGATAACCTATGCCATGGTTCTCTCTGTACATATGCGATCGTTGCTCAAATGTGCAGGACTCTTTCCTTGAGTGACATCTGTACACTCTTTTTCGTTTTTTCCAATGGTGAGTTTTCATCTTTGACGACGCTGTTTTAGAGAATTTTTACTATTGGAAAATGATGAGAAGACACCGAGTGAAGCACATAAAGCTTATCTTGACTTAGAATTCAAACTACCATATTTGTTACATAACCTCGCTTACTTACTTTATCCCTAAAGGGTCCCCAGGAATCTCCATCCTCCAGCCATATATCTTCAGTGCGCGATCGTATTCGTCTTCTATTGGAGGAGAGTCCAAACCGATCGTCTTCTCATCTGCCTTGCCTGAAACCTCTACTATGTCAGTTGATACTTCTCCTTTCAAAGCTGTATTGGGGCTCGTTTCCATCGGGGCTTGTTCGACACAAGTGCGTTTATTTTCAGCTTTGGTGGCATGTATAAACAATAGCGACACCGGTGCACTGTTCGGTCTTCTGTTAAAAGTATTCAGCCTTCTGGTTGTCTTTCTCCCCGGGTCCGTCGACCTTCCGTCCAGTTGACTTTTGGGTCGATTCATGGAAGGTGTCATACAGTGCTTGTGCGGTTCACCTTTCTCCCAGTTGAACGGCGCTGACTGAGGCCTGGTTGGTCGTTTATCGATCCGAATTTCTGAACCTTGAATCAACTAGTGTTTGATGAAAATAAGGGGTTATCACTGACCGACTGGCTAGTAGTAAAACGTACTTATCTACCTCGAAAATTCACAGAAAATTAGTTCCGACTGAAGATGGTGGTAATCTCTGCCGTGATGGGTGATGTGCAACTAGCACCTATCGATCTAATTCACAGCGCATAACTCGTGTGTTTGCCATAAAAACTTGATCAGACTCTACCGTTTGAGCTGAATATATGAGTTGGCATTTGGCAGCACAGATTGGCAGATTTGTTGGCACCAGACATTTCCTACGCCCTCTGCCCACTTATCGTTGCGAACACATGTCCCAAATTACAAACCCTGGGGTTTAATCCGACATACTTAATTGTTATTGTCAACTGGATGTGTGAGATTTGTTAAAACTGACGTCACCACAGCAGTCTTCTTCGCTTGCAAAGCGTTCAACCTGTTCACCGTTCTAATTTTCCAACCTAGCTCTTCCGCCGAGACTCGTTCAACTATTGCGGAGACATTTCCCTATACATCTGGCTGCTTGGTGTCTTGCTTCCATACAAACGACGCTGGTGTCTTGGTCGATCTACATAATGAAACGACAGTCACCCCAGCTGAATCCGATCTCGACTACAGAACATCGGTAGTCATTTACATACCTCTTACTCTGCTACAAAAACAGACTACACCGCAAGCTGCGTACATGCCTGCATATGACTGACACAAAACTGCCACATTTCAATATCGCCAACTACCAACCAACATATGATTGATAATGTGCTTCTTGAGAATTTCACTGACCATGTTCAATGATGCATGTTTTAACAGACTATGCTCATGCGTTCCTTTTCCATTTAACTAAATAAGCAACAAACTTGTGATCCCCTTGTACCATTTGATCTAACGAACAAACTGAGCCCGTACCTGGTGCAGTCAAGAATTAAACAATTTATGGATTTATTTATCCTTGAAGTGCATCTTCATCAGTCCGGTCGGCGCAACCTGCTCCAGGTGTTGTGTTGCACACCCCGGCTTGGTGCACGCTGAATCCATTCAGCTTGCGATACACAGATCTGGATTCTGTTTAATGGCTAACCGCTTGCTTACTCGGACACCGACCTTTGTGTGGTTCAAGCACAGTTTGTATCATAGATATGACGTGGTCAAAACATGACCATCCTTATGATATAATGCATAGGTTGGAAAGCGACTGGAATGAATAGTAACTGCGTCGAGATTCGCCACCGAAAGGAATGACAGGCTTTTTTGTATAGATTCGTCGCAGTTAGACACATAGACAACCACCACACATCTAGCAAAGCGCTAGAAGCCCATTTCCTCCTACTGGGACTCGTCAGTAGCGCGCACCCGCCGAATCGTGCCGGATTCGAACCCACGACCTTACTCTTGTGAGTCAGCGACTTATGTCACAGAGCCATGCGCGACGGCAGCGAACCACCATGACATGCAAGACAGTAGAGGATGAGCCGCGCTATATCCTAGTTAGATATCATTCATGGCGGTCCGCTACGGTCGCCCATGGCTCAGTGACGTAAGTCGCTGACTCGCAAGAGTAAGATCGTGGGTTCGAATCCGGCAGGATTCGGCGGGTGCGCGCTACTGACGTGTCCCAATAGGACGAAATGGCCATCTAGCGCTTTCCTGGATGTGTGCTGGCTGTCTGTCTGTGTCTAACTTTAATGAACCAACACAAAAACATAATAAATCCCTCCACTACTTACAAATGACAGGCTTATTGGCTTCACCGTTTGACCATAGCCAGTTGTGGTGGTCTATACTCTTCAGAGCAGTGGAGCGATGCATTTTTCACGAATAAAAAACAGACGCTTAGCAATTTCCAGAGATAAAGATTTAGACCAGAGAGTGAATGGTAAATAAAAATACCGCGAAAAGGCACATTCAATACCAATTTTGGGTGTACACATAGTTTGGTTACATGGTCACGTGTTCCAGTGATGTGGGTTGACTTATGTAACGCTAGTGATCTGTCGCGTCATCGTCGCATTTTGAATTCATCTGAGCGGGCTAACAGAAAGCGAGGGCATCTTTCACGGCTGGGATACACGAATGAAGAAAATGTTTCGGAAGTATTCCAACCGGCTGTACTGTGCGGCGAACTTCAAACGGCTGCGTCTCAGTGAGGTGTAATGGCTGAGATTCAATAGGAGTAAGCATATGTGGTTAGGATCCTTGAGTAGCTGATAGACCAATACGAGATTACCTCGCAGAAGACGAGATTATCCGCTGAAAACTCCTAGAGTCCTTAGTCTAAAATGGTTTGGCCCCTTCGGTCTGAAGATCTGAGACGCCTTCAAGTCTTTGATCATCCTTCTCTGCGAAGCATTGCTGGTGTCGGATGGCACCAGCGTGTCCGCAACGATGATGCGCGTAGGCGAGTACTAGGTGGTGCTAATCATGCTAGCTCCTTAGAACAACAGATAGCACTGAATAAGTTGCGTTGGCTTGGGCACGTGCTACGTATGCCTGATCACCGTTTACCTAGGAGGGCCTTATTTAGTCTGCCAGGTGTAGGGTGGCGAGAGGCTCGAGGTGGACAGAAGTTGACTTGGCAGTGGGAAATGGAGACACTGACGATGAAATTGGGTGTCGTTGGTTCGTCTCGCCTTCCGGGCTGGAGTCCACGTGACTCGCCTTGTGCTTGGCTCGAGACTTTACAGGACATGGCTCGCAACTGACCCTAGTGGCGTGTCTGCTGCGGTGTCCTAGTCGCATTAGCTGTTTAAAGTGTGTTTGGTGCTGAGTTATCTGCGGGGTAATGGCTGATTATGACGCGTGACAGTAAAAGCCGCAAGGAAGCTGTCTCGCCGATGCCGCCTTATCTTTGCACGATAGCCAGCTGTTTGTGACGATATGTTGTCTACACAAGGTGTAGGCGCCTTGACCTTGAATGTTTGCTTAGGGCATTAAGATTTTCAGGTAAGTCCCCCTTCTCACCCTCTTCTTATTCTTTGTATGGCAGCGAAGCATCAGTTCAATTGGCTGGTGTACTGCTGTTGATGATGATGATGTTGATAATGATGATGAGTCTAAACTGGTAAGAGTGATGGAGCAAGCCCGTAACACTTCTTGTCGCCCTGCATTGTAGCTTCTCAAGAGTAATGACTTCAAGATTTTTCCAACGGAGCAACACCTGCATGGTGTGTCGTATATGTGGGCTCAATTAAAGCTTGAGCGTTTGCGAAGAAAGTGGATGCAAATCGGTCAAAAGCCCTCCGCAGTACGCCTTAGTGTTGGCTGACCTTTTCACTACCTTCTCGACCAGTCTTGAGCATCCGAGATTGTCCTGCACATACATCCCATGATCACTTTCATTAGAAGCGTGCTTCAAAACGTGTTCTCCTAATCGATCTTCGTAGATGATCGGATGATACATACACATTATTTTACATTTGACAAGCATGTCCTGAGCCGACAACTCGTAAGTCATGTTGAAGTCGTGTTGCAGTGCTGTGTAGTCGTCCACCTGTTTGCTGGCCCGCCAAATCTTGAGATCGTTCGTCGAGTGGAAAATTCTACCTCAGCAATTCTGCTAGGTCTTTTATGAACACTATGGATAGCGGTGGTCCTAGTACCGATACTTGAGGAACGCCACAGTAAAACTCCAGCGGGTACGGTAGGTCACTACGAACTCGCAGATTCAATTGGCGTAGGGCTAGGAATGAATGTATCCAACCCAGCATCGGGTCACCGGTCCCAAAGCTCCGAAGCGTGTAAAGAAGAAAATTCTGATCTAGATGATCAAAAGGCTGCGATAAATCATGGTAAGCGGTGTCGACACCTACCCCAGCATTGACGGATTCCGTCCAGCCAGCACGGGCCATCAAATACTTCGTCGTACATGAGCAATTTTGGCAGAAGCTATACTGCACCCGTACGATGATATTTCAAATTTTTCTTGACTATCTCTACAATAACAGGATCCGTGAATTTAGAAAGCACCAGAAGAAGAGAAATCAGGTAGTAGTTTTGCGGGCACGGCATCATGACCTCCATTTGGAATTGGAGTGACTATTACATGCTTCCGCATAGTTGAAACCTGCATCTCATGGAAAAATTAAACTAACGCCTCATCTAAGCTTTTGGCAGTTACCTTCAATGAATTGGGGCGTTTGTTACCCGGACTGGGCGTGTGAACTGCATTAGTGTAATGACATCAGTCGCTTCCAAGTCAAGCCTACTCAACTTTGTACAGTCGTGGGGAATCCGACGTTATGGCTGTATTCCCTCCATTCTCCATCATTCGGACAGATCGTTTAGAGTGTCACAGTTGTCATGGTCATTTTAGTGCAGAAGCGCTCATATGGGGAAATAATTCGTCTTAGCTATCTATTAACATCCCAAGCGCCGATATTTGTGATCACAACATCTTCAACGCAACGGCTGTCTATGGTCAGTGGTGTAATACGGAGAAAAAATGCCGAAGCTTGACATGTCCTGCCAGATGAGTGATTAAGAGTGAGCAAAAATAAAGGCAAAATATCAATAGAAAATAGTGAACAACCGCAAATTGTAAGCTTGCCGGTTCCCGTCTGAGAACAGTCCACTCTTAGTAGTATGTAGAATCCAAGTATATCGTCTCTCGTTTCAGGGCAAAAATAGAGGTGGGTAGGCTTGCCTTTGTTTTTCTGCTGTTTGTATGGGTCCTTTGAATTGCGTGAAATGGTGTGGTGTGGTCAATGCATTGTCGACACGTGCTTTGAACACGGCTAGCGTAGGGGCTGAAATAACAGCTTTTGAGAGGGTATTCCACGTGTAGCAAATACGCAGCGAGAAAAGCTTCTTCAACACTCCAACCGACTGTATTGTTCTGCCAATTCGAGATGACGACCTCTCAGTTTGTTGTTGTGACGCAGCTTCAACAGATGATGGCAGGGATGCTAACTATCGTTTAATATCTGGTAAACCATGATTAGGTCACCACGCTAACGGCGATAAGGTCCACTGAAAATACCAAGCACGCTGTGGCGCTGTTCATGTG